GTCAAACCAATGCTAAAGTAGAACTTCACACGATGCTCCACTTTCCTCACTTTAAGGAACAAAGGGCTTCTTGTAGGAGTTGTTATAAAATACAATTTTATTCTCATAATTTTAGGACTTTATTTTCTAATTTTACGACTTTATTATTGAAATACGTAGAAAAAAAAAAACTCTAGCCTGGCCCTAATCATCGGCAGTATTAGGATAATTATCATTGATGATGGTTGAGTTTATTACACCCTGATATTAGCTGCATGTTGCGCATCAGAACTGATTTTTTTCCTCAGTTGTTTATCTAATTAATACATTTTCACTGTCCAGTTACAGTTATAATCTTCATTCTGAACGTAGAAAAAATGTAAGAATGGAATTTGAGCGGCGTCCTTCAGCTAAGAACAAATTGTAATAATTTGATAAGGCTGGATCCATGGATGTCTCCTCATCTGCTAACGTGTTTGATGTAGAATAAGATGATGATACTGCAGATGTATAACATGATTCTCTCTGTCAGCGCCACAGGGAGCCCGGTTGGTGAGCAGCTGCCTTCTGTAACTCTGAGCAATTTCTCTGATCAGAGTAAAATCACAATTTCTATCAAAATGTGCCGTCATGTCTCCTGGTTATTTAATACACTGGAAAAAATACAAATCTATATAAGTCATTTTTTTCTTAAAATTAGTGCATTTGTTCTTGAATTGAGGAGGTAAAAGAGACATTTTCCCAACGTGTTTCTTATTTTAAATAAGAAACACAATTGCATTTTCTTATTTCAAGTGCATATTATCTAATTATCTTATTTTAAGAGTAAAAATACTCATTCCATTGGCAGACTGTCTCATTTAGCTATTCAAGTTAAGGGTAAATACACTTAATTTAGGAGGTTTTGACTTATTTCTAGATTTTTTTTGCAGTGTACATATAAGTTATGAAGTCTTAAAAAAATGGAAAAAATGGAAATCTAGATGAGTCATTTCTTTCCTAAAATAAGTGCATTTTTGTCTTGAATCGAGGAGGTAAATGAGACACTTTGCCAATGAAACAAGACAATTTACATCTAAAATAAGAAAAAAATATATTTTAATTGTCTTATATCAAGTGTATATTATCTGATTACCTTATTTTAAGTGTAAAAATCCTCATTCCATTGGCAAATCATCTTATTTACCTGCTTGAATTAAGGGTAAATACACTTAATTTAAGATATTTTGACTTATTTCTAGATCGTTTTTGCAGTGTATTTAAAGCGTTTGTCCTGCACTGGAAAAAAATTGAAATCTAGATAAGTTCTTTAATCTTAAAATAACTATATTTGTTCTTGAACTGAGGATGTAAAAGGGACATTTTGCCAATGGAACAAGACAATTTACATTTAAAATAAGAAAACACAATTACATTGTCTTATTTCAAGTGCATATTATCTAATTATATTATTTTAAGAATAAAAATACTCATTCCATTGGCAAACTATCTCATTTACCTACTCAAATTAAGGGTAAATACACCTAGTTTAAGAAATTTTTACTTATTTCTAGATCGTTTTTTCAGTGTGAGTGATTAATTTTCTGGAAAACGAACCAGAGAGAGAAAGCTTCAAGGTGTAGAACCAGATCTTTAACACAATATAAAACAAAAACATTAAGCAAAGAGTGTAATAAAAAGAAAATAAATATTATAAAGAAATGATAAAAGCAGTGTGCGTTTTTATAGAAGAAATGGGGTCAGTTGATGACGCCTGGTGTTTCCTCCTGTTCCGCAGCCGTCCCTGGAGATGACAGGAACGTTCAAGATGAAGAAGGTGAAGCTGGTGGAGGAGGGATTCAGCCCTGCTCTCATTAACGAGCCGCTTTACTTCCTGGATCCTGACCTAAAGACTTACAACCCTCTGACAGAAGAGATCTACGGCCAGATCAGCTCCGGGAAGGTCAAACTCTAACAGAAACGCGACTCAACGTTTGGTTTTATTTTAATTTTAATTGAGGACTTAACTTCTCATCCGTTGGACCTTAATCAACTAATCTCAGGGAGAAACTTTTGACCCAGCACTTGTTTGTTTAAAGATTTTCTTTTTTTTATTAACACGTTCACTGCACACCTCTACAGATGTTTTAATTCATCATCCTGAGTGTTTCAGAATGTTTTTAAATAAATCCTTAGAATAAAAATATTCCCATCTGCTTCCTGTCTTCTGTTGATCAGATCAAAGAACTGCTTTAATGATTGGCAGCTGATAACCAGGGGCGGATTCAGGAAATGTGGGGCCCTAGGCAAAGGCAGGCAGGGGGCCCTCTGAATGGAGAAGACATAGAACAGCCCCATTCTCCAGATAGAGAAATGTGAATAGAATAGACATCCATTATCTGTTCTAGGTTTTGTCCCTCTCTTCTTGTCCCTTTTCTTCTTGTTTTCCTCTCTATGTTTTGTACTCAGCTGACTTT